CACCGATGCCAACTTCCTGAGGTCTAATAAATAAATAGCAGACAATAATATTAGTGGGATATACAGTGTGGTCTGCCCACTAAGTTTGGATTTGTGGTGTAAAAGCCAACCAACCATCAGTCTCTGCGCTCTTGGTCAGCTGCTTCACCAGCTTGGCTGTGTTGTTCTAGAATAATATGAAAGCAGATTGAATTGCAAATGTTCCTTGTAATATGTTGTGTAAGTGTTTTTGGCTGATAAACTGAGTACCTGTTTGAGGTGGTCCACTTTAAGAGGCAGCTTCTGCAGTATGAGAAGAATGAGCTGCAACAGAGGGCTATTATTGGTAGTTTTTGAGTAGGTGAGCCAGGAGTTGAGCAGCCTGTAGCCACCAACTCTGATAAACCTGGATAAAGGAGGGAACAACTGAATTATAATGAGGGAGGCCTGGATTGAAGACTTTTGTCTGTGCTAAAGAAATTATCCAAAGCACAGAGGAATAACACATATACAAAAACAAAACAATACCGGTTAGAAGGACAAATTCATTGTTATGAGACCTTCTACAGCATGGCAAAGTATACTAAGGTAAATAACAACTGACTATGACTATGACTATGTATTAATACATACATTGAGACAAAATAATACAGTTGTACTATCATATTCGTGGGGGAAAAAAAATAATGATTTCAGCAGGTTGTTATTCCAATACAGTGAGGTTGCATCATCCTGTTAAATCATTTACAATGTATGGAAGCTAAAAAGAAGTTATATTGAAATTAAATTTCTTTGAACTGGTGACGTGTAGCATGAATGCAACAAAAAAGTATCATGTGAAACTCTGATTTGATAACTGTAACCTGTAAATGACTCAGGATATATGTATTTATAAATGTTGAATGGACCCAGCCCATCGTTATTAATTTATGATTAAAATGTAAATATTTCTATACATTTAGGATTCATAACTCCATTTATTTTAGAATTGCAAGCAAAAGAACAGTGTTCTTTAAATAAAATAAGAAGAGACCAAATAATTTCACCAACCCACCAGAAACAACCCATAAAAAGATCTTAAATTAAGATAAATTGAGATTATTATTGGTTTTTTTTACAAGTTTGACTTGCAAAATACAGTATACAAACTTGAATTAAAGCCTACCGGTTAAGAACATCATGAGATTTCGTCTGCAGCAGGATGTTCAGGTACATACATCTGCTGACCATCTTGGTAGATGCTTTCATGAGGCTGCATTGAAAGATATGAGTCATGAGTGAACTGTTAAATAAAAGATTAAACAATTAGGGCACACAAATGTCATGTGTACTTTCATTTCCTCACCTAAACACCTTTGGGACTCCTTCCAGGCTGCGTAGTTCTCCATCCTTCCCCAGCAGAGCCTCCACACCCTTCAAAATCTCTCTGGGGTCCATTGGTCCATCTGCCATATCTGAAACATATACCCTAAGAGTTAATACACATGCTAAACAGACAAAATAATTTGCGGGTGTGTACAGCAGTATTTGCTATTTGTTGATAGATATTAAACTACTTTCTATTGCTGGATGTTTGCTTGCTAACTAGAAATACTACAAAAATTCACCTAGGTTCTCCCTCCAAATAAAATGTCCCATAAAGGCTCAAAAGCTGGTTGACATCAAATATACCAAAACAAGACTCAGTAGAATCAGGATCAGCTCACCACCAAGCACCATCCATATTTCATCTCTTTTTAGTGAGTCAGAGGAAAAACTGCATGGTCTGTTTGTAATTCATCAGACACAATTCACACAAATATGGGTTTGAGCATCAGAGTTGTTCATCTAACTTCCAACAAACCTATTTACAAATTAGTGAGAATGCATTTTCAGTGACATTAGTGTCACTAATGGGTGACCTCTAGTCTTGATAATTGGCACTATATAAATACAGACTATTTACATGTTCATACAACTTACAAAAACTACAGACAATAGTGTTTTCTTCCAGACACACTTCACTTTTTCCTATGGTAGACAAACATCCACAGTGCATTGTGGCTCCTGTGTGCTGCCTCACAATTTTCATTTTTGTGGACCGTTTCGTAGGGCCAAGTTGACACCAGTTGAACCGGAACATGGGGTGGGGGGTGGGTGTTAACTTGCAGGAGAGGATTAATGGGAAAAAAGTCTGTTATGTTCGCCTTGGGTAAGGTTACACAGTTCATTCCACTTCAGGCTATATTTAATAGAGCAGCGATGCAGAAAATGCAACGGCACATTTATAATAAATGTACATTATGTTACACTTTTAATTTTAGCTATTTACCTAATCCTTCTTTTTCGAACTAAAAGTACATATTATGGACAGATATTATTAGATAACTATTAATTAACAATTTCATTTATTTTTATGATTGAAAAAACAAGGGGAATGGTCAAAAGTGTATAGGAAAAAGTAGCCAAAAAAGAAATTTATGCAAGCTACTTATCATTACTTGTCAACTCTTTAATAGCACACATCTATCACAATAATTGCCAAAGTACAAAGTCCAGTTATACACTCCAGCAAATATTAACAGGATTAGCAACAGTATGAAATGCTTACAACTGCAGATAAGTTTGTCAAATACTCATCAGTGTCCCTTCAAATGCAATCATCAAACTGAAATTGTCTCTATACTGAAGTCGTGGTGGAAATAACATTGCAGTCATATCTCACAGCGCCAGGTTACAGATCAGGTCACTTAATGCCACCTTCAGGCTAGATCATTGCCTCACTGACCCTCTACATGAGAAGAAATTATTTTGACTTTTTTTGCAGGATCACAATAATGGTGATCTGCAACACATTTATCTGACAAAACAAACTTGTGACTTATAGACACTGGATGTTTCATGATTCAGTTAAATAGTTCAAAGTCATAGTATCTTTGACATGTCTAACATGATCCTGAAGAACTACGTATTCTGCCCTCTATGAATGCATTTACATTTATTAAAATGATTGTGACAAAAGGTTTTATGAATAACCTTCAAATTGTTCATCGTATAATTTCTTGGTTGAACCTTGTAACCATGCACTCTTTTCCACAGATTTGCATTTACTAAAGAAACCATTTCATGTACAGAATTCTGCAATTCTTGTGGAAATCAATCCACTGGAAATGTTACAATGTGAGGAATCAGTCAAATCTTACCCCGGGTAACTGCAGTAGTAGTTTTATATAGTCTCAGACCTCCACAACACTGCAAATAACCAACACTCCTGTAAATGTCACAAATGTTACACATAACCCTGGTTTAGTGGGGGAAGAAGATTACTTGTGCACAGTCAATCTGGTCTACTTACATATTACTAGTAAATCATGGAAAAACAATTAGACAGTAATCAATGACCAAGCCTCATTTACAAAACAAAAAATACCTACATCTATCTATCTATATGTGTGTTTAAGGAGAGATAGATGTGTGTAACCATGAACACACAGATCGAATCAAGTTACAGTTTAACACACCCTCAATTTTATAAATGCAATGGAAGCAGCCTACAAAAGGTCTGACATTTGTCATAGCTAAGTACAGGCCTGCTGCTGTGGCTTAACTATCCGACAAAAGGGGAGGGATGTGGATTCTGACTGCTAATCAGGGCCCTCCCCGTTAACCACTTAGACGACGGAACACCGACCATTCAAAACAACAATGGCCATCTGAGCAACGGCTGTGTTGGTTGATAAAAAACAAGGCGACCCAGCACCACTTGCATGTTTAATCATATGCGTAAACCAGACAGTGCGATGAACATCGGACTGCACATGTTCAGCACATAAATTACGTACAAACCAGAAATCCCAAATGTTACTTCGAGAACAATGCTAATCCCCAGGGCTGTCCGAGGATGAAAAGCAAACCGCAACTAGTCCATCACATTTGCCGAATCCCGATTGTTTTTGCTTCGAAGGATCTAGTCATCCTGCAATCTTTATCCACAGATTGCCGAGCACATGATGCGGATTTCCGGAAAACCGCTGTACTAAAATTGTCAACGCCTCAACACAGTTTCGGGAAATACGTCCGCAATCCTCAAACTAATGCAATCTTTATGTGTAGATTGCGATGAGTGATTATTCCGTAGAGCAGCCCTTACAAAAACTGGCAGGCGAAAAGTCCGACTTCATTATCTGGGATTTATTCTCTATGCCTACGGCAATCTTTATGACTAGATTGCTTATAGTTCTACGATTTAGGTATTTCTATTTATTAGCCCATTTCGTCTCACACACAAAGAAACGGAGCTTTGTGCCTCCGTTCACTTTCCCGTGTGAGCTCATACTATACAATGATCTTTTCAAATTGTTTTTCAAGAACCAAGTTAACTCACGGTCCCTGCTAGCAAGCTACCAATAGCTAGCATATTATTTACGATTCTTTTTCTCATTCGATGAATTTCGATTCAATTTAACTTCAAAATCAACTTACTATATATTTCATAGATCCATGCGTCTCGGGAATATGATAACGTGCTTTTCAGGTATTTATACAACTTATTTCATTAATTTTATGTCGTCAACCTTCATGGTTTTAATATAAACTTTAAGACTTCGTATGGGTGGGGCTGTGGTAGGTAAAAGCTAGCCTTTCCTTCGGGAACACACTGGAGGCAAAAATAGTAATCAAATGTCCATTACTTGAAGAAAAAATGTGAATTTGAGTTGTTGAAAGTCCCCGATGGTTCAGTCTTCGGCAAACCGTATTCATACCTGCAATCAGACAAAAAACATACATTTAATGTTGATTCATATAAATTCCGAAGACCTTTGTCTGTATTAAAGTATTTTGTTGCTTTCTGAATACATTCATTATGTATTTCGCATTTAACATGGTGAAAACAAGCCTCGACGTATTTCCAACCGGACTTACCTCTGACAAAATCCAGGAATGCGCTCTGAGGGAGGGACTGCGCTTTTATACTATGTGACGTTTTTTACGTCACGGTCCCCGTTTTTTCCTCTGTTGTAACAAACAAAATGGCGGAAAGCTGACCTTCGGTGCTTATCCAAAGGGCATAATGGCGTATTTCGCATTTTGAAAAACAATTATTCTGAATTATTGACTGGAGTCGCCTTTAACATTTCAAATTTTGGGATTGATGGCGAGCTACTAAAGTATACTAACTAATTTAAGGGATATACGTGGACTGTTCTCGTTTTTCACTTCTGAATTTAGATTTTAAAAAGTACCACAAAATGGCGCATGGTGTCTGTTATAGGCGGATCACATGCGCCAGTCCGAGATAATGTGGTATTGCAAAAATAATAGACAATCACGGTGGATTAAAAAAAACGAAGTTCGTGTGGCTCTATTTTTACTCTTTGTTTCAGTTTATACACAATGTGAAGATTGCTGGTGATTAAACTTTGATATGTAACGTGACGGTACACATGGCTACAGCGTCACTGTGACCTATTACCTTTACCCTACAACCTCACGACAACAAAATGGCTACCGTCATCCAACGCCTCGCGAGGGATTTTTGCAGTCTGTCGCCTTCTATTTTTCCTCAACTACGACAGATTCAGGTATTACATTTTATTGTACTTTTACCCACCGCCCGTTTACTTCACTCCTTCGCAGGAAGCGCTTAATACATTGAAGCCATTATCAAGTCTGGTCGGTCCATGTTTTTTTGTGGACTGAAGCAGTTAAACAAAGAGTGTCAGAAGAGTTACAACTTTGTTTGATATAAGTGTGATAACTTATCGGCGCGACTACACGCTCGATAGAATACATGGGTATTATGAGCGAGTCTCCTGACTTAGTAAGGCGCAGTTACAGTCCGTACACTCTCATACAGCAAGTGACAGTTAACATCAATATCGTCGCAATAGAGAGTGCCGGAATGCAGGCAAATTGTATCGGACCGCAATTCATAACCGCACTACATGGGCTTTACACATGAATGTGGTGGATGGAGTCAGAGGGATGTTGAGATAATTCTCTTGCAATCTATTTACTCTACAGAGGCTCCCGCGTAGACTGGGCACCTCTCCATACTTACTTCCCAGTCACTTTTTCTGCAAAGCGGCATCAACCCAGAATGAGGACTCTACCCAAGCTGCTGAGGCTGTATCCCGCTACAATGATAGACCCTGGGATTATCTGGAGAGTGAAGGTGTTAAAGGAAAATTAAGATTTAGCACTTTGAGTGATGGATAAGACAGGAAAAAAATCCTATATATATATATATAACATATGACTCAGTCCATTCATTATATGTTTTTACAATTTATTTATCTACCCTGACAGAGTACTTTGAGAGGTATGGAGCCAGTCCAGTGTGGGAAGGCTACCGGAGGAACCACAAAGGAGGCATTCCCCCACAGAAGACACGCAAGACCTGCATTGTAAAGTTTCTATTTGAATCCACCAGAGATACCTTACATTAGATACAGACATAACATCTGTAATTTACAATAACAATAACTTTTTTTCTACAGAGAGGAGATAAGATATGTGGCAATCCCTGTCCAATTTGTCGGGATCCAAACACTGTCATTCACCATCAGGTTAGATTGCATATCAGTCACTCTGATCGTCTCACAGCACACTAAACATACTTTTGGGTTATAGTACTCTAGTCTCCTATCATACATTATATTTCAGTCTCTTGTCACCAACATCAAAAAGTGTGGAGATTTTTTATTCCAACCACCATTCTAAGCACTAGCTTTTTGTTTATAAAAATATGCCTGATTTGTTTGTGATTTTTGTAAATGGGGCATCTACCTACAGAGTGACCGTGTATAAAATGCAGCAGCTCTAATACAGGCTTAGAGGAAGGTGGGATACTATAAATGTCCATTGAGTAAGATTTAGGTAAAAGGGATATATTGGCAGACATTGAATATAATATATATTTATATTTAAATACTTAATATTTACACCAGGAGTGGGTCCTCTGTTTTTTTTTTTTTTTTTTTTTACAGAAGCCTAGACTGGACAAACTAAACACCTTTTGAGTTTTATGACAATTGAAGGCTACCACAGGTTTTCTTTCATATGGAAGGGGAGAGTGAGGTAGAGATAGCGTCTGCCTCCAGAACCCAGAGTGGGAGCTGTTTCCACAGGAGAGGAGCCTGGTAGCTGAAAGATCCTGTATTTTGGGAGCAAAGTGATCTTTAGGGAGCATAGTGAAGGGTAGGCAGGTGGGATGTAACATTAATTCCACTGCACAGACCACATTACTTTGTTTACAGCACAATCACTGATCACCACAAACTCTCTTGACATCATCAAAATAAGACAGTTCAGCAGTTTAATTAAAACCTTGATTGAGGCTTTTACTCAAAACACAGTTCATCAGTTCATACCTGGTATTGGAATGACTTCTGCTTTCTTTCCAGAGTCATTAGGTCACTGTGACCTTTCGCCACTGAAAACTTATCTTTGAGTCCTTGTGTCAAATTTAAAGAAATTCCCTGAAGGCAGACTTGAGATATCATGATTAAGAAGCCAAAAACATGTTTTATGAGGCCACTTTGACTACCCAAATCTAAATAATCAGTTCATCTTTCATGCCAAGTGATTGTTTGTACTATATAATTAGCTGTTTATGCTAACAAATGTATATTCCTTTGTAGAATGTGAAATTATTGCAGCAGTTCATTAGTCCCCATACTGGAATCGTGTATGATTCCACTCAAACTGGTAAGTCATCAGAGAGAGGACAAGTATCGATGCATGAACCATGTCAAGTTATATAACCAGACTGCTTGTGCTGATAGTTCTACTGTCTGCAGGTTTGTGTATGAAACAGCAGAAGAAGCTCAATGAGGCCATCAGCACAGCACAAGATCTTGGTAGGTAACACAGCGAAAGACTTGACCCGAACCTCAGGGTGGATGAGGGGTTGAGTGGTCATCCTCCAACCAGAAGGTCGGCAGCTCAATCCCCAGTCTTCCCCATCTGCATGATGAAGTGTCCTTGGGCAAGATGCTGAATCCCGTAGTGCACCGCATAGAACAAGAAAGTTCTGCTAATAGATGCACTGTATGAATGTGTGTGTGAATGGCAAACTGTACTGTAAAGTGCTTTGAATGGTCATCAAGACTAGAGAAGTGCTATATAAATACAAACCATTTACCATTTAAATCAGAGTCCCTGACTATAAACTCAGCCCTTTCAATTTATATCCTTTATATCCTTAATCCTAATATTTGATATACATATCACTTTATAAGATACAAAAACGTGGCAAGTATTTCTAGTTAGTTTCGGTCAATAGTGTTTGACTTGAAGCCTCACAGCAGGTTATGAAACTGTTTCAGTTTCAAAGTTTTAAAATCTGCCACTGATTGAACAAGAAGATTCGGCATCAAGTAGCACTTCTGTTATTTTTATTTTGTGCAAAGAACCCAAAAAATATTACTCATAAATGCCAGCCCATTACCTCTAATCTAGTATTTTCATAAATCATGGGCAAGTAAATAACTGCATGTCTTTTTTGATTATACCCCTAAAGCATTTAGGATGTTGATTTCATTCCTTACATATTTAGAGTAGAAAAACAAATACCCATCAGAGCACTGGCTCATGTGACACTTAAGTGCACCATTGGTAGTCACTCTGCTTAATATCTATTCTTCAGGTAAAGCAATTTCTATTTAATGTATTTTATGTTTTTGGTAAAAACAGAAATAAGTCAACTATCACCAACACTGGTGTCTTGTGTCTTCTCTCAGGCTTACTACACTTTCAGATTCCACATGTGAAATTTACAGGAGAAGACTTCTACAGTTCTCATGATGCTGTGGCTCCCACACCACCTCCCCCCATAACCTCTGGCGACACCTGGTATAAATGGTACAGTGAAATAATGCCTGATGAGAAAGAAGTGGCTAAAGTCAAGAATGCATACAAGGCTTATTTAAAGTGATGGAGACCACTTTAATTATCACTTAAGTTCCCTTTGATGTGCGAAGTCTAATGAACCATGTGCATTTCCACCCTGTTTCATGTCCCACATGTGAGTATAAATAATAAACCACAGAATCAAAACTGAATTTGTTTTATTGTTAAATTGAGTAGTTCTCACAGACAATTTTCTCTATATATTTTGAAAAGTTAATGTAAGATGAACACTCCAGCCAGTTGGAAAATGTAAGCTTATAAGGGAATACCTATAAACACCCCAACAAATCAATTTTTGCTGTCAGTGTTGTTTTGAGAGACATGCCAGCTGGTCCAGGCGGAGGAACAGCGGTGTGTCCTCTGTGTGATCATGCATTGACCTTGTTGACCATGGTCTCTCCCAGGGCCTCCAACACCTCCCGCTTGTACTCATCAAAGTCTCCATCGATCTGGTTGACTGTACTGTCCTCAACCACCCACAGTTGACACTGGGTCTCAGTGATGAGCCGGGCATCATGACTCACAATGATCACAGCTGGACACAATGAAACTGTGTTAGTTCAGTAGTGAAGACTAATCCATTACCATGTGTTTTGAAGATGTGGTGGACACAGATCATTTGAATGTAGTCTTAGTTCAAAAGTGTGTTTCTTTCCAGGAATTACGAATTGTCAGTCAGACTTCCAAACCAGAGCCTGATCTATAGAACACAGACCAATGTATGGGGCCTCATTTATAAAACTGCTTAGGAGTTATTAAAAGTTTACATGCACCCAAAAGCCAAAATGGCCTAAAACAATAAAACCGAACTCATGCACAATGTTCCCCCAAGGCAGTTTCGTTTATAAATCAGTCTACCAAGAAACTTGCGTATGTAGGTCTGCCTCATAATCTGCCCTCTACAGATTCACAATCAATCATAAATGGTCAATACAAACCACCTGATTGTTAAATTAATGAGTTTCTGTGGGTGAGCTTGTGAGTGGGGGGATGGTGTTGCCACAGCAGTACACCAATAAAATAAAATGCACCGAGTGGTGAGGTGATGCCGTGGCAGTTAATGCAGTGAGAAAGAGTGGGTGACAATGTCTATACATTATTCTTCCTGCTACCTAACTTTACCCACATTGCAACTCTACCACTGACAGCTGTGGACATCCGGGTGCAATATACTGCAAGCAGCAGAGATTACATGACTACAGGGGTATAGAAAGCGCACCTTTTTCTAACTCCACACTTTTTCTTATTCAAACTTGTAATTTTCCAGACCAACCAAAGGAAAAACATCTGTGTCTCAGTACTCTTAAAGTTTCAAAACTCTGGTTTGAAGTTTATATTATTTTATCTTTAATAGACACCTTGTGTATAAAATACACAATGAGCAGGATTTTAGAACCACTCCTCTTACCTCCTTTGTATTCATTGATGGCCTCTGATAAGGCATCGATTGACTCGATGTCTAAATTGTTGGTGGGTTCATCCTATGAGAGAAAAAGACAGTTAGCTATAGAATTTTTTGTGTACACTATGGATAAAAGGCTCAATGGCTCTTACCAAAATCAGTACATCAGGCTGACGACATGCTAGTTCAGCAAATACTACTCTAGCTTTCTGACCACCTGTTGAGATAAATCCAGACAGTGTTAGAAAATTTCTGCCTTGACAGTTGAAAGTAAACATGACAGGTCATTCTGTTACCGGAGAGTTTGGAGATCTGAATGGTGTGGGCATGGCTCTCCAGGCCAAAGCGTCCCAAGCACTTTCTGCTATCCTGATACGGAAGGTTGAAATTCCTCATCAGGTACTCTGAAGCTGTTTCCTCCATGTTCAATTGATCAGCATACTGCTGGTTGAAGAAGCCCACTTTCTATAGGCACACACAACATCTATGTTACAAATTTTCTTCACGTAAACGGGCCATTACCCTACACCGCTTCAAATGGAAAATGTGTGCGATGTAAAATGTGATATTTCATGCAAAGATGTCATGTAAAGAGTTTATATAGCTGCTTTGGGGGCTTTTATTCTAGTCAGCAACCGTTTGCAGATAAAAGACAGTTTTCAGTTGAAAGGAGTTGGCAACTCTGTGTCAGTTCCCGGCTCACTAGATATCAACACTCCTAATTAGGGCTGCAACTACCGATTATTTAGATAATCCATTAATTAATTATTAATAGAATAAAATGACAAATTCTACATTTTACCCTTTCCTGCAGTTTATTTGAAAAGTAACTTCATCTTCTTGTAGAATGCCGATTTTAAATGAATAAGATGCATCTGCAACTTTCTCCAACTCCAGTTTCAGATATCTACAATTTAATTCTGACTATATTGCAAGTTCATTATATCTACAACCCATACTGACAAGTTGCTGACAACTTAATTCAATGTATCTCATATTGAGGCAAATTAAAGATATCTTGACCTGAAATAAAAGATTATAATATGATATAATATAGTGCTCAAAAAATGAAGGGAACACTTAATCGTCACAGTATAACACCAAGTTAGTTAAACGTCATGGATATCAATCTTTCAATTTCAGAAGCACAAGTGATTGTTAATCAATTTCACCTGTTTTGGGGTGGAGGCAAAAGCAAGACAGACCCAAAAAAGGAATGGTTTTGCATGTGGTGGCCACAGAAAATTGCTCTCTCTTAATCCATCCTGACTGATTCTTTTTTTTTTTTAGTTTTTTGTTCTACTAGTGTCCTTGCCGATACTGGTAGCATGAGGCGCTACCTGCAGCCCAATCCAGTTGCACAGATAGCCCAGCTCCTCGAGGATGGCACATCCGTACGTGCAGTCGCAAGTTTGCTGTGTCTCCCAGCAGTCTCAACAACATGGAGGGGATACCAGGAGACTGGCCGTTACAAAAGAGCTGGACATAGCTGTAGAAGGGCAGCAAGATCGGTATCTGAGAGAGCCATACAAAATTACTTCCAGCAGGCGACTGATGTGCATGTTTCTGACCAAAATGTCAAAAACAGACTCCATGAGGGTGGCATGGGGGCCCGACATCATTTAGCGGGTGCTGTGCTTACAGCCCAGCACCGTGCTGCTCGATTGGCATTTGCCAGAGAACACCAAAATTGTCAGATCCGCCACTGATCCCGTTCTCTTCACAGATGAGAGCGTGTTCACACTGAGCACATGTGACAGGAATGAAAAAGTCTAGAGATGCCGTGGTGAACGTTATGCTGCCTGTAACATCATCCAGCATGACCAGTTTGGCGGTGGGTCAGTGATATTCTGGTGAGGCATATACAGTACTTTGAGGGTCGCACAGACCTCCAAGTACCTTGACTTGATGAAATCCTCAGAGCAATTGTCAGACCTTACGTTGCTGCAGTAGGCCCTAGATTCGAAGGACACCATTCGCCAACTCAGCAGGCCCAGATTGGCGCACTGGCCATACACACTATGAAGTCACATTATGAGTTGCCGTGATGATATTCACAAAAGTTGGATCAGCCTGTGAGTTAAATCGTTAACTTTGATTTTTGGTGTGGTTTTAAATCCAGCCATCATTGGGTTGATGATTTTGGTTTTCATTGACCGTTTGCTCTCAACAAATTATATTGTGAACATACATCTGATGCCTCACACATTTTCAGTGATGTTCCTGAAATCATTAGGTGTTTCGGGTCTTTCAATCTCCAGGTGGCACAGCTGGGGCTGATCAGACCCCAGCTTGTGTCCAGATGGCTAGCTACTCTGACTGAAGAAGCAACTGTTGTTAAAATGTGTTAACATTTTTCATTAAAGCCTCAAAAAAACCTGTGTTGAGCTGATTTCACATGACACAACAGCACATCACTGTGTTATGAACAATGAGTTGTTTACGATCCACCAGTAAAGTTTACTTTACTGAAGAAGTGACATCGCCAGTCACTTCTTCTATGAGTTGATAGAAGAAGAATGGCTCTAACATGTTCTCTCTTCAGGTTCATACCACAGAGATGTGCTGCTGTTCCATGTGACATCAGCTTTACATAGTTTGTAGTTGTACCGGTCCTCTCTGAAGGCTTTAATCTAAAGTATTTCAACACTTTTGACAACCTATCTCCGCTGTACCCTGAGCGGTGTTTGTCTCCAGGATTTTTCAAATGTTAACTCCAGAGAGGAAATAGCGTCGTCACGCAAGCTAAAAAAGGCATTGGATCAGCTGGTTTACTGCCCCCATCTCAGGAGACATTGCCATAGTGTGCGCAGTGCATTATAACAGACCTAATTAAGGACTACTGAACTAGTTGCCTGCTATTCTAATAATCGATTAAAACATTTAGTTGTTGCAGCCCTAAGACCACTAATTGGAAATGCTGTTAGATTTTGAATCCCACTATAAATTTTATCTGAACATTGATACTGTGGGCGGCTGTGGCTCAGGGGCGGTTGTCCTCTAAACGAGAAAAGTGCCATACCATGTTAGTACAGACTATTTACCATAGACAAACTACATAAACAAGCCTGGTCTTGCAGCAGACGTGCAATTCAGAGACAGTGTGAACATTTACTTTATGGTTGCAGTTTGAAGTTAGTTATTTTAAGATTCAAACATCAAAAGTAAGTTACTCACCAAACGATGATTCTTTCTCATCTCACCTTTAGTCTAAGAAAAGAAACATCCATGAGTTACATAAAGCATTCTATTTTCATTGAACCTTTGGAATAACCTAGTTTTCCTTATTAACTGGTCCTAAAATATGATAAGATCATTGTCGAAGTCACAAGTACAGACACAATGTGCTGAAGCTTATAACACTTTGACAACAACATAAAAACAAACGGCATCTTTGCTGTCTTTATGGAACAGCTATTAGGCATTCACAGTGCTGGAGGAAAAAGTAAACCATGGGATTTAATCACCTCCATGGGCAGCAACAAACTCAAAGATCATCCAGTAGCTGTGACTCAGACCGTTCATGACGTTCATGAGCATTTGGACCATCGTTCCTTCAAAACTGAGGGTAAATACTCTGAATACTTGCATCAATTTTTATTTTGTTTTTTTGTTTAGTAAATTTGCAATCACTTAAATATTTGTTTTCGTTGTGGGGTATTCGGTATAGATTGATGAGGGACAACTGAGGGACAGTATTCAAACAATTTAAGCACAAGGGTGCAACAAAATAAAATGTGGAAGTAAAGGGGTTTGAATCCTTTTTGAATGCACTGCACATAAATGCAGATTATTTCAAAGGGTTCACTTACCTTTGCCGCTGGGCATTTAAAAACATTTAAAACTTTGAACATCTACTCACTTACAGGATTTAGTTTCCCAGTGAGAAGCAGCAGCAGGGTACTTTTCCCAACACCATTGGGTCCAACAATACAAACTACAGAAGAAAGAAGAAAGTAATGTCACAGTTTAATTAAACATTGGGCACAGTTTTTTGACATGAGAAAGTCAGACTGCTGGTTCTGCTGCTTTTTGTGTCATGATCCGAACATTAACAATATAGTAACCTCCTTGTACACCCATGTTTAGTTCTGTTTACATGGCAAAATTAGAGAAATAAGAAGAAATATATTTGTAGCAAGCAAAGTTGCCACCGGGGTATCCCAACAGCCAGTGACAAAAAATTCAGGTTTCAACATCTTTATTTAGCTCACAAGAGCAAACGTTAATTCAAACAAACAATAAATTGCCTGACACAACCTTTTCAGGTGCAGGTTCCACTCAGCCTGTGTCAGTATTTTCCTCTCTCATGGCAGCTCTCTTAGCTTCCTTTTAAACTATAGCGAGAAATCACCTCCCATCATCCATTGACACAAGTACACAGGCAAAGATGCAGCAAACTTACTCCTGGAGTCCATGTCAATTCCAAAGTCCACGTTTTTGAATAAAGACTTCTGACCATCATATCCAAAGTCAACACCTGGATAGAAAAAGAATGGAGTCAAGTTTTCATAGTGTTAGGACAATGTAAAATTATGAATGTATTACATTAAATGTCATTTAGCTGATGCCTTTATCCAAAGCGACTTTAGTGCATTCAACATCTATTAGGGGCCATTTGGGGATCAGCATCTTGCCAAAGGACACTTCAGCATGGGAACATGGCCCCCTATAGTTTAATAATATATTAAAAAAGCAACATTTATGATGGTATCTAATGGCTTTTTAATCCTCAGACATGTATTTATGTAATTCACCGAGAATGTTGTCCTAAACATGACAGGTAGAAAGGTTTTATGTTATCAATCCTCAATTGACACTTATTACGTATCACAAAACTAAAAGGGACAGGGGCCCTGAGGAGTAAGCTGTACTAGCAGTGTGTGAATGTACTTACTATGTAGTCCCAGTATGGGCGGTGAGAGTGGAGGTGGGTTGGGGAAAGTAAACTTGACAGTGTATTCTTTAGGCCTCTTCAGCAGCTCCGTGGCCTCCAGGCTCTCCTCCTCCTGACTTCCTTTCTTCTTGCCTCTCTGCTGCTTTCTGGTCAGGGCATCCTTGGTCTGCTTCTCCTGAGGGGAACATTTTAAAGAAAACTTTAACGAACTGCTTAAAATGAGACTGAATAGATGGATAAGGCACTTGTGTCGATTGGAAATGACAAAGTGTGGAATCTGTAGCTCAGCTTAAGTTTGGAGTTTGTTGTTGATTTGATTTATGAAGCAACACATTTGTAAAAACTGTCACTCTGTGTGTAGGAAGTTGAACATTATTGATCCAAAACTATATCTCCACTGCTCAAAAAAATTAAGGGAACACTTAATTGTCACAATATAAGCTCCAAAAAGGGAATGGTTTTGCATGTGGTGGCCACAGACAGTTTCGTGTTCTGCTAGTGTCCTTGTCACTACTTCCACTGCACATACTGTATATAAACTCACCATTACCTTCCCATATTTAACTGTTCTATGTATACATATATACAAATATATATGTACATACATATACATATGTATATATAGAACACACACACACACACACACACACACACACACACACACACACACACACACACACACAC